CTGGTGCAGTATGGGTAGTCACTGGTGCAGTATGGGTGGTCGCTGGTGCAGTATGGGTGGTCACTGGTGCAGTATGGGTAGTCACTGGTGGTATGAGTAGTTACTGGTACAGTGGAATTGGGGAGCCCTCATAAATCATCACATGACCCTCTCTCTTCCTCAGAAAAGGAGCAGAAACTGCCCAGTGCACACTTACCTGTGAATATCGGGATCGTGGCTGCCATCATCATTGGATCTCTCACTGCTGGGGCCCTCCTCATCGGCAGCCTTGCCTATCTCCTGGTGACGAGAGGTTGGAAGGGCCAGAACCACGGGTATGGGAGCCCAGGCCTCTCTGTCCTTCCCTTCTGTCTCCTCATCTGCTTCTCAGGCCCTGTTGATTCTTCCACAATCTCTTCAAATCTTGGGACCCCTGAGGTGAAAAGAATCTTTCCATATGCCTTAGACAAAATTCTGCATTGCAAGGGACAGATAACCTAGCCTTAAACTGGCTTACAAAAATGGGAATTTTATGTTTGTTTGTTTGTTCGACATAACTGATTAGCTTCAGGTATGGCTGGATCCAGGGGCCCTCACAATTTCTGCATAGTTCGTCCCCTCGCCAGCTCAAGTCTTTGCTCAGATGTTACCTTCTTGGTGAGGCTTCCCACACCATCCTATTTGAAACTGCCCACAGTCCCCTCCTCTTCTGCCCCTCTCCTTTTCTTCATTTTCCTTTGCAGTAGTTTTCACTCCCTGACATTATACTGGGGATCACTGATTCAAATTCTCTCTCTCTCTCTCCTCACTAGAGTGTCCCCTCCAGGAGGCCAGAGGTCTTTGTCGGTCTTGGTCCCAGCTGTGTCCCCAGTGCCTGCAAAAGTGCCCAACACACAGTCAGTGCTCCTTAAATATTTGTTTAGTGAATTAATGAATTTTCTGGATTTAGTGAATTAATGAATAATGGTGTTGAGAGTACTTTTTAAATAAGGGCATTCAAATAAGTTGATTTAAAGAGTAAGGTTAACCCATAACAAGTGAAGACATTAAATCAGTAATCAAAAACCTCCCAACACTAAGATACAACCATTGGTCTCTATGTGTCTGAAGTAAAAGAGAAAGAAGGAGACCAAAGACTCAGAGAAGAAACCAGTCCAAAGAAGTAATAGTCTACACGAACCACAACCTCATCTATCCTGAAACCGGAAGACCTAGATGGTGCGCGGCTACCACTACTGACCATTTTGATCAGGAACACAACAGATGGATGCTGGCAGAATGGGAGCAAAATGTAGAACGGAACTCAAATTCTTACAAAGTCCAGACTTACTGGACCAGTTGAGACTGGAGTACTCCCCAAGACTGTCACCCTGAGATACTCTTTAAACCGTGAACCAAAACTATTCTATGAGGTCATCTTTTAACTAAATAACAGATTGGCTCATAAACAATATCATCCATGAGTATTGCGCTCCGTTTGGTCAACATTAACTCAAAAGTAAAGAGGAGAAGGCAAGGGGATGGGGAAATGAGATGAATGGGAACGGAACAACCAGAATCGAAATAATGAGAAAGTTGACAAACTGTGAAAAATGTAACCAATGTCACCGAACAAATTGTGTAGAATTTGTTAAATGGAAACCTAATTTTCTGTGTAAACTTTCACCAAAAACACAATAAAATATTTTAATTAAAAAAAAAAAAAAAAACCTCCCATCAAAGAAAAGTTCTGGACCAGATTACTTCACTGGGGAATTCTATCAAACATGTAGAGAAGTGACTCCAGCCTTCCTTAAACTTTTCCAAATACTAAAAGAGGAGGGAATACTTCCCACCTCATTCTATCAGGCTGGCACTACTCTGATAACAAAACCAGAAGAAAACTGCAAACCAACATCCCTTATGAACATTGAAGCAAAAATACTCAACAAAATACTAGCAAACCAAATCTAAAAATGTATTAAAAGGATTATACACTATGATCAAGTCGGATTTATCCCAGGAATGCAAGGGTGGTTCAACGTTAGAAAACCAATCAATGTAATACACCGCATTGATAACAAAGGAAAAGAGCCACATGATCATGTCAATCAATGCAGAAAAGGCATTTGACAAAATTCAACACCCTTCCATGATAAAAAAAACTCTCAACAAGATAGCAACAGAAAGGAAATACAGAGAAACATTAAGGAAACCATAAAATGGGTAGATGGAGCAGACTCGTTTAGGTGGTCTGTGTAAATGGTGACGTTTGAGAAATATAGTTCGCTGCCATAATGTGGCTGCCAGGGAAACTGAAAGGAGCCCTGGTGGGACAGTGGTTAAGCGCTCCCCTGCTAACTGAAAGGTCAGTGATTGGAACCTATTAGCTGCTCTTGGGGAGAAAGATGTGGCAGTGTGCTTCTATAGAGGTTACAGAAACCCTATGGGGCAGCTCTACTCTGTCCAATAGGGTCACTATGAGTGGGCTTCAACTCGATGGCAATGGGTTTGGTTTGTTGGTTTAGGGAAACTGAGGAAGGGCTATGTAGCTAAGGATTATGGGAAAAGAGGCTGGGACGGGATAAGTCTTGGCTCACGCTGAAGCAGGCCCACCTGCCAGTTTCTAACACCGGGTCCCTCCCTCCTCCTCCAGGATGACCCACACAGAGAAGCCAGAGCTGAGCCCGGATAGTAACGCTGGTAAGTGGTAGCCCCAAGTCTCACTACCCAGGCCCCGCATAGCTCCTTCCTCTTCTCTCCATAACCACAGACCCCTTGTTCTCACCCACTTAGGGGCCTCCCAGTTGCAGGCCCAGCCCAGACCTCTCTGGGCCCCTCCAGTGTCAGCCCACAATCTGAGTGCATCAGTGCACCCCCTAAATCTGCTTTTCCTCGTCTTCTCAGAGGCTGGCTTCCTGCCGTCTGTTAATCCACCTGGGCCACACCTGAGGCTCCCTCTCCGGCAGCCCCTGCCCCCCAGCCATTGGGCCCCCGATCCTGCCTCCAGCAGAGACCTTGGCCCTCCCCCACTGGCCATGACCCAATCCAAGCTCCAACCCACAGATCCCTCACCTGGCTCCTCAATGTTCTCCTGGCCTCCAGGCTCACCTGCAACCCACCCCTGGGCAGGGGTCCTTCTAAAACTCTGGCCTTGGCTCTCCTCTGCACAAGCCTCCTCCATGGCTCCCCAGTGCCCTTGAGACAAAGTGCAGGCTCCTTAACACAGCCCTCAAGAATTGGTCCCCACTGTCTTCCCCAGCTTCGTCACCCGCATGTAACATCCCCTGCAAAAAACATTAATTAATTAATTAAAATTTTTATCCAGACAGACCAAACAAAGCATAGTTCCTCAAACATAGCAGGCTCGCTCTCTCTCTCTCTCTCTCTCTTTCCACCCCCCACCTCCGCCAGGCCTCTGCATGAGCTATTTCCTCTCCTGCCTTTGAATAGCTCTCACTTCTCTTTCCAGAATCCCCTCCTCCAGGAAGCCCTCCCTGACTTCCTCAATCTGGGTCAGGTGCCCCCTCTGAGCTCCTCTGTCCCAGGCAAGCTCACTCTGGGTGGTCACTGTCTGCGGACAGGTCTGTCTTCCCCCACTGGACTGTGAGCCCTGGGAGGGCAGGGCCGGGGCTGTCTCATCACCCTTGTGTCCCCAGCACTGGGCTGGGCAAGAAGAGGGTTTGTAAGAATGTTCGTTGAACAAATGCCATGAAACAACTAGAGTGGGCCTGTGGGCCATCTGTCAGCCGGTACCTCCCTTATCCCCTGCTTTAGGTGACAACAACATCTACGAGGTGATGCCATCTCCGGGCCTCCTGGTGTCCCCCCTCAGTGACACGGGGCTCGTGAACTCAGCCCTGGTGAGTCCCACCTCCTCCCCTAAAGCCCCCCTCTGACACGCTCCCCTTGGAGTTTGCCACCGTGCCTTGACCCACAGCTCGGGACGGTGCCTCTCTCACAGGAGGCCCCTTATTTTAAAAATCATCAGGAGAAAAGACTGGAAGGAAGCAGCAAACTATAAACAGCATTTGTCTCTGGAGTGTGGAGGATGGTGGGTGGTTTTATTTTCTCTTGTAAAAGCGTCTGCGTTTTCTACACTGAGCAGATGTTCTTCTTACAATTAGCAGGAAGAGTTGGTAAAAAGTTATTTAAATGAAATAAAACCAGAAACTTGCAAAACTAAGGCTAAAAGCGTAGAGCCAAAGGTGCTGACGGAGTCAAAGATCAAGAAGAGAGGAGGCTGAGAAATTCATGGGCCACTGGACAAAGCCAGTTGAAGTCAGTGCCCTCGCGCCCATTTGTCTGAGGGGGACACTGAGGCGCAGAGAGGTTAATTCCCTTCCCCAGGGGCCACACAGTCAGGGAGTGCATGACGGGGAATTCGAATCAGGTCTGTCATCATGCCAAAGGTCAAAGGTTGGAGGGCATGGGGGTGCCTGGTTCACCTGTGTTCTTCTTCCACAGCCCCCGCCCCTGCCCCCACCCCTGCAGCTGGAGCTGGAAAGCCACCACTACCAGGTGTGGAGCTGGGAGGCGTGAGGGGGTGTCGGGCTCCGTGGAGCGGGAAGCCTGGGTGGGAAGGGGGCCGGGGAGGTGGAGGGCACTGTCCTCGCCTCTCCCCGCTCTCGGGTTCTCTGGCTTCCTGGTCACAGCCTCACTGAGAGCCAGTGGGCAAGTCTCCTCCCCTCTCGGGACTGCAGTTTCCTCCTTTCTAAGAGGCACCCACGGCCTTGAACTTGCAGGCAGGCGGGGGATCGAGACCCAGAGAGAGGGAGGGGAACGCCCTGGTCACACAGCGGGTCAAGGCCAGAGTCCCGCTTCTGGGCCTGGGTCTCACCTCACTGACCCCTCCTGTCTGCCCTGTCTCTTGCTACGTCTCCGTCTTCATCTGGCTCTCTGTCTGTTTGTGCTTCTCTGCTCCTCACCGAGGGCCTGTGTCTATGGCTTCCTAGGTCCCTCTCTCTCTCTCTGTGGCATTTTAATCTTTCTCTCCCTGGCTCTCTCCGTGTCTCTTCACGCGTCTCTGTTTCTCCCCGTCTTTGTCCATCTGTTTCTCCCCGTCTTTGTCCATCTCTTTCCGTTTCTGTGTCTTTGTCTCTCCCTTCTCATCGCCTCTGTCACTCTGGGTCCACTCCTTTCTCTGGCTCTTCCGGAACCTTCCGTGTCGCAGTGGCTTCCTCTCTTTCAGTCTTGGTCTTCCACTCCCTCTCTGTCTTTCCCTCCGTGTCTCTCCATCTCTGACTTGGACCCTCTCTGTCTCCCCAGCCCAGTCTTACCCCGAAATAATCATTCCTCTCTCTCTTTCCCCTCCCCCGCTTCCCAGGACCTGCTAAACCCTGACCCTGACCCTTACTGCCAGCTGGTGCCAGCCCCCTGAAGGGGTTCCCGGCCAGGCCAGGCAGGGAGAAGACCACGCTCAGCCCTCCCCTGGGGACCTCAGGCCTACGGAAAACAGACAGCAGACACCCAGCAGGCCAGGCCCAGCAGGGGTTGTGAGGACGGACTCAGTCAAAGACACAGCGTCATGTGAGCCAGGCGGCCCAGGTGGGGTACACAAGACTGTCAGCCCAGCTCCTCGCTCACCCCAAGCGTACGACCACCCACGTTGAGTCTGTTCCTTCAGTCATCCTAGCCCAGATCATGTGCCCAGGAAAAGCAGGTTCTTGCCTCCTCTCACCTTAAAGTCCCCCGATCTGGATATTTGGGGGTGAGGGGGATGGTCTCGGGCCTGCCTGCAGCCAGACCTCACAGGCACCCACGGGGCTGGGTCCCAGCTGTCCAACCACAATGCCCGACTCCCACCCTGCCAGACACCTCCGGGAGTCCAAAAACCCCTTCTCCCCGGAGACGAGACAGCCCTGCCACAAAAGCCCCAAGGGATAAGGCATGTGGCAGGAAGGCGCGGTGTCACAGGCCTGTGGCCCCAGACGACAGCCCTGGCAAGTTGGCACAGCTGCTGGACCCTTCTCTGCTCCAGCACCTCCAAACCAGTTGCCATTGAGTCAACTCCAACTCGTGGCAACCCCATGTGTGTCCAAGTAGAACTGTGCTCCACAGGGTTTTCAACGACTGATTTTTCAGACGTAGATTGCCAGGGCTTTTTTCCGAGGTGCCTCTGGGTGGACTTGAACTTCCAACTTTTCAGTTAGCACCTGAGCGCATTAACCGTTTGTGCCACCCGGGGAATCCCCAGCCACTCTAGTCCCTCTGTAAAACAGCGTGGGGGCGGTATCTGACCTCCCCTAACTTCACAAGGGGGAAGGAGAATCAAGATCAACAGCCCAAGGCTGATTCCTAAGAGGCGGAGGTCAGACATGCCTCCTCTGTCCGCCATTTTTATCAATTCTGACACCAACCGTCCCTCCCAGGGCACTCGCTACTTCTCTGCTGGGTTCGATCATTCATTGCAATGGCCACACAGGACTCAGACAGTATTCACGATTATGGGGTTTATTAGGGAAGTAACAGGTTACAACTCAGGCTCAGGAACACTCAAGATACAGTTCTTCCATCAGGATGGCGTCTTCCCAGCTGTGCTTGCAGGCACGCCTCTCCCTGGCCCTAGGCCTCTGCCCAAAGGCACCCAGCTATCTCTCTCTGTGGGCCGGGAAGCCCATCACGCCATCTCCTGCTGCCGGGTCTTGGCTGCCTGCAGCGTTACCGCGCTCTGTCTCCCTTCTCAGCGCGGGGATCCCGAGTTCAAAGGACACGCTAGCTCCTGGCTGTTCTTCCTTGGTGGTGGTGGTGTAACCGAATTCCTCAGGTTCCTGTCCTATTAGCCAGTCAAAATAAGATGGACGCCAATTGCAAGGGAAACAGAAAATGGTAATCTATTGTCTGCGCAGACAAGGAGCAACATGCGGCCCCGCGCGCAAAGACCAGGTGCTCCCCGCCCCAGGAGATCAGGGACTTTTTATGTCCTAGAGTCCCCAGGGGGCAGGGACTGGCTTCTGAAACGGTACACTCCCAGCCCTCCCATGCCCAGATTTGGAGATCCGGGTGCTGAGTCATGCTGAGTCACTCTTCATAGGAAGCCCACGTTGTGGGACCTCTCGCTTTGCAAATCGGCTCCTGTGGTGCTGTGTCCTGGAGAATATCCTGAAGGACACAATTCTTCAGATCTGCGCATGCACTAAGATCCTGGCCCGCGCATGCGCAAAGGTCTGGGGCCAAATACAAACCGCGGTTAGAGGCTGCGTTTGCAACGGTGGCTCTGAGCAAACCGAGATTGGAAGCCATGGTTTGCAACGACCAGCAAAGGAAGTGGGCGAAGCCACTGCAGAGCGGGGTTTCAGTAGGATCTTCTCTTTGCCGCCTCTAGGGTGGCTCATTTCAACCCCAGTGGGATCGCAAAACTGACCGATCTCCTTGGTGGGCTACAATTACCCTATCTGCACAGTCCCGCCTAATCACCTGGGTAGGCGTTACAAGACCATGACAAGAAAGGCCACACAAAAGCCATCCATCACACGGCACCCTCTCAGAACTCTGTCAGAGTCGCTCAGGAACCTGTCACCAACTTCTAGCCCTTACTCCCACCCTGAATCTCATCAGGTCCTTACTTTATTCGTTCCTTCAGCAAACTGAGCCCCTGCCGTGTGCCAGGCACGGTTATAGACCCTGGCAGTGAACAAAACAAAGTCGCCTGCCCTCCTAGAGGGACACTGCTGGAGGAGAGAGTCAGGAAACAAAATAAAGACCTAAAATACTTAATGTGTCGGATGGTGACAAGGGCAGTGGGAAAAACAAACGGGAGGGGGGTTGGGAGTGTTGGGGATTGAGATTTTAAATAGGGAGGGCAGAGAACACCTCACTGAGAAGGTGATATATAAACAAAGACCTGAAGGAGGTGAAGGAGGGAGCCATGTGGGGATCTGGGGGGGAAGCATTCCAGGCAGAGGGAATGGCAAGTATAAAGGCCCTCATGTGGGATGCCCTGGTGTGTTCAAGGAGCAGCAAGGAGGCCAGCGTGGCCGGAACAGAGCGGGGAGGTGGGAAAGGGCAGAGGGTGAGGTCCCGGAGATGGGGGAGGGGCAGATTGTGTGGGGCAGTGGAAGGCACTGCAAAGACTGTTTTTGCTCTGTGGAACATAGGGGAGACTGTGTTGTAACATGAATAATGGCCCCCCAAAGATGTCCATGTCCTAATCCTCAGGACCTGTGAGCATGTTACACTACAAGGCAAAGGGAATTAAGGCTGCTAATCAACTGGCCTTTAGATGGGAAGATTATTCTGGATTATCCGGGCGGGCCCAATGTGATCACAAGGGTTCCTGTAAGTAAAAGAGGGAGCCAGGACCCGCCATTGCGGGCTCTGAAGGTGGAAGAGGGAGGGTCACAAGCTAAGGAATGCGGGCAGCCTCTAGAAGCTGGAAAAGGCAAGGAAACAGGTTCTCCTGTAATGCTCCAGAACCAACGCAGCCCTGCTGACACCTGAGCCCGGTGAGACCCATTTTAGACTTCTGACTTCCAGAACCGTAAGAGAATATATTTGTGTTGTTTTAAGTCACTAAGTTTATGGTACCTTGCTATAGCTGCCATTAAAAAAAAAAAACAACCAAACCCATCGCCATCAAATTGATTCCGACTCACAGCAACCCCATGTGGTACAGAGTAGAACTGTGCCCCATAGGGTTTTCTTTACGGGAGCAGATTGCCGGGCCTTTCTTCCATGGAGCCCCTAATTAGGTTCCAACCACCAACCTTGAGGTTAGCAAACCTCTTGTGCCACCCAGACTCCTTATAGTGGCCAATTAAAAAAAAAAAAAAAAAGTTGTTGACAAGCCGATTCCAACTCATAGAAACCCTATAGAACAGAGTAGAACTGCCCCCATAGGATTTCAACTGCCGGCCTTTTGGTTAGCTGCCGTAGCTGTTAACCACTGCACCACCAGGGC